ACTCATTTGTAAAATTGAATGCAAATTAATTTGGAAATGATGATATAAAATATTTTAGGAAAAATTACTTAATGAATATTACCCCAGCACTCATAGGAAGTCTAATCAGAACATTATCACTAGAAGAGAGACGCTTATAACACTCTCTCACAATTAAAATTAACAGCATTATAGGATCAGCCAGAAAATCATGTCATATTTCTTAAGTATCATAGAAGCAAATGGTTCCATCTTATCAAACAGCACTCAATAATTTTGAGAATTATTAAACATTGTTTTGCACAGAAAATTAAAGGAACACTGGGAACTATATGGAGTACAGAGCACCTGGTGCCCTGTAGGAGACCACGTGAACTGGCAGAGCCACCATGGAAAGCAGTGAGAGGGTCCCTCTGAAAATTGAAAGTGAAGCCATCTCCCTTCTGGGTGAGCGTCTAAAGGGAAAGAATCCAGTGCCTCAAAGAGACAGCTGCACTGTTCACAGTGGGCAGGACATGCAAGCAGCCCAGGTGTCCGCCAGGCATGTGTGGGCATGGGGTCTCTTCATGTAAGGGAGCATTGTGGGGCCTCCTAGGTATAGGGAAGTACTGCCACCGTGAGGACAGGAGTGAACCTGGAGGGCAGGGCAGGAGGTGACATGAATCAAAGAGAAGCCCTGTATCTCACTCAGATGTGGAATCTACAGTAGTCAACGCCTCAGAAACAGAGTGGAAAGAGGGTGGTGAAGAGGTGGGTAGTGAGGGACATGTGGGGTTGGTAAAGTGCACAGAGTTCCATTACCACATGAATGAACTCTGGGACCCACTGCCCAGCCTGGAGACCACATTAGCAAGACAGTGTTGTGTTCTTCACATTTTTATGGCATCTCAAGTGTCCTCAGCACACACACATACTGAGATAACTATGTGACATCATAGATACGTTAATGAGCTGTGTCAATATGTTAATGAATTGTGTCAATCAGTGTACAATATATACAATATATACACATATCAGGTCTGCCTTGGTACACATTAAATGCACACACATTTGTTTCTTAGTCATACTTTAAAGAAGCAGGGCAGGTGGGGGGAGTCTAAGCATTTCCCCCAGATCACAAAGATGGGCTCAGTTCTCCACCCTGTGAGCTGGAGCCACAGGCTGAAACTCCACCAATCTCCCTCATCCGTGCATCCATTTGAGACCCACATCAGCCCCATATATCCCTGCATCTTGTGACCTACATTCACTCTTCTGTGATTCCTGTCACAGGGGCCTCAGGACAGCCCTTCTACCCGCCATTACCTCAAAAAGACCCATCACCAGAGTCCTCCTTCTATTGTCTTTTATCCATTCCCGATTCTAATATCTTGGTCCCTTCCCATAACCTCGGTATCCTACACAAACCAATGTCCAAGGTGCAACTCTCACCATCCTCCACTTCCAATTCAAACCCTAGATCAATTACAGTCGATCCCATCCTCCTCCACTTTTCTCCTTGGTGACACCGCTTTGTCTTACTTCTTGTAGGGATGTGTGTTTTAATTCACTGTGTTTCCGCTGGTGTCTTTGCATGTCCTCCAGCTCTGCCATGTTGTTAAAACTGTGGCCTCCAAGAAAGTCTTGGAATCTAGGAGCAGGCGTCTTTCTCTGGATTTTCCTGTTTCTCTTGCTATCTGGGGAGTCCTGACCTCCTTTGCTCTCTCTGCCCAGTATCTCCACCAGCTTCCTCATTGCCCTGTCTCTAATTTTGTCACCAGGAAGGCCCATTAGCTCTCTCCAGCCTTACCCTCCTTTTCTGACACTCTAGGTCTCCTTCGGATCAATACATACCTCAGGACAACCCACCCCATGTGAAGTCACAATTTTCCACCACAGGTATACATTGATGCCTCAGAGACATTAATCTTCTATGACTTTCACCAAGCAGTGACCCTCACCTTTGTTCACACTTGCTCCCAGTCTCCAGATGCCCATTCATTCCTGTGTTACCAGATACCCATGACTCTACTGTCTGGTAGGAACTTGTCCTTAGTGTCCCTACCTCTTTGCCCCCTGTGTGCCCAAACTCCACCATAATCATTAACTGTTTCTGGGTATTTAAGGAGATTTGCTCCCCCCACCTTCTCTGTTTTGCCCTGTCTTTCCCACAGCATCCCAGCTTGTCCCCGTGCCCTCTTTCCCCTCGTCCTCTGTCATCCCCTAGCTTAGCAGTTCCATCTCAGACACCTAGGTAGTGTCACCATCCAGAATTCTCCAGTTGGTCTTGCCCTCCGTTGGTCTTGACCTCCGTGGTACTTATCAAGCAGTTATTAAGACGATTTACTATAAATGTGGACCTAGGAGGTTTAGAGGGATTACAGAAAAAGGCAGGGGAGCTCCTTTTCTTCTTGAGGCCCTTGAATTACTGAGTAGCAGTGGCAGATCTTGTGGTTAGAGAAGGGGTAGCTTTGTCCTGTCCAGCAATCTGTTCCTGCTGCTGCTGTTGATCATGGACTCATTTAGAATTCTGTATCTTATACTGATGTGCTGGGTCTGCCCACTGTCAATAATGGAGATTGGTATTGGTAGAATATATTTATCCACAAAATTTTGGCATGAATTGGCAATGAGTTGTGCCAATGAGTCCAAATTCACTGACTTGAATTTGTGCCAATGAGTCCAATGACTTCAAGGTGAATTATGACCATCACATTTTTTCTTTAAGTTGTATCTGTTAAAATTTTTTCCCAGGTATTTAGTCTCTTTCCATCTCCCTGATAATGATGTAACTGATGGTGCTACTAAAGGAAATGAAGAATAGTAATTTACTACCCTTGAAGTAGAAACCTCTCAGGGAAGCAAGGAACAGAGTGGGATGTGCACGGCTCACTGCCCATTCTGCACTTGACAAGTCACAGGGTTTTCTACTTCCTTGGAGACCCTGTCTCCCTCCAGGGACCAGGGATAAATAAGGTCCTCTCCAAACACTCCAGAATTCCCTTAAGAGAAGTTAGGAAGAACTTGTAATTGTTTTTGATCAGTGTCACCTGGGGAGGAAGTTTTCAGTAGTGTCCTCAGCTCCCCCAGCCTGCACACCCATTGCTGCCACAGGCACAGTGATAATTGCAGGTCTGAGTGGAGGTAAGGTCACAGAGTCAAGGACTCATATCTCAGGAGCTGTCCACCTAGTCACAGAGGCCTCTGAACTAAGATTGCCATCCTGGTAAAATAAAGAATCCAGTGTGTTATCCAACGTCAGCCTGCAGCAGAGTCTGAGAGGGAACACCCCCTTCAAGAATCTGGGTAAGTGGTTGTGTCAGAAAAAGGCATTCTGGTTTGAACCCAATAGAATGCCAGAGCCACCCAGGAAGTAGATCAGTTCTGTGGGAGCAGATCAGATGGTGAAGGTGCATGGAGTTCCAGTCATATTCCTAGTCTCTCATGGCTCCTAATCTAACTTAATGTGATTCTCAGTGACAGCAGCTATTGTGGTTTCATCCATGTGAAAATGAAGTGTGACTTTTAAAGTGTATGAATCTTCAGTCGGTGTGCTCTCAGCCTCCAGAAGAAGATTTCTACCTGAAACCTTCAGGATTGCTGGAGCTGAACCTTAGTCTCCCCACGCCTGATGTATAGAGTAGAAAGAATTTACAGGAATCCTCCCTCATCCTGGGTAGAAAATGTATCTGACTGGTTATTGTTTGAGCAGGAATTTTTCATTAACTCTGGGCTGATACCATTAGTGGATTTGGTGACTCTACCAATCTTGCTGTCATCAGCAGTCTATGATTATCATGACACTGTTTCCCTCTTAATGTGATAAGAAACATGTATAGAAAATGGATCATAAATATTGTGGGTTTCCAACACCACCTTTCAGACATAATATCTTCTTGCTTTCACTGGTTTAATCATATCCCCCTGATTGTAGCATACATGACATCAGGTCTAGGAGTTTAACAGTGAAGGAGGCAGCGAGTGTGCAGGGGTCAGATAGGAGATTGCAACACCTTCTGCTCAGATTTTCTGTGATTCTGAATTGGCTCTAAGTGAAAATTCTGAAATATATGCATTTGAGTGACAGGTGATAATCTGGTATTTTAATTTTTAAAAGCACAACATCATGCTCCACATACGCCAGACTGCACTAGTTTCTTCTGATATCACTCAACAATCTTGCTTCCTTGAAATAGTTGCACTTGAATCGGGTGTTAATTAACTCAAGAGTGTAACCTCTGAAATCAGTAATGCCTTGGCTTCTCCTCTCTCTCATCACATGATCTGGTTACATGTGCTAAAGCTCTTGGTGTGGATTGTGGTTCTTGGACCAGTCCTGGGGTAGATGCCATTGTACTTGGTTCCTAACCCCCAAAGTGGTCCTGAAGTGGAGCCAGTGTGGCCTCATGCACATAACCAGTCAGGTGCCTGTGGTGATCTTTTTCCCTCACTTCACCTGCATTCAGGAGAACGTGTAAATGTTCCCTCATAAGATATACTGGCTGATAAAATGAATCTTTTCAAGAGAATGGGAACTTGTTACAACAAAAATGTATAAGTGCCACTAGCTTAGATGGTAATTGTAATGTTAAAAAAAGTAAATCTAGAACTGTGTTGTTTGAAAACCCCCTTGATGGCTTCAGGGAGGTCTGCTATTTCACTGTACTGTCTCTGTTACCGCTGAACAAGTTCCAAGAGCTCTCTGCCCTGAGCCAGTGTGAATTTAGGCAAATACCTAACCTCTGCATGCCTGAATTCTTGTAATTATTCAATGCCATCTCAGCACTTGCCTCATGATTGTGAAGACTGAAGAAGTCACCATGTGCTACCTGCACAGCAGGGATTGACCCACGCTTCATGCTTTTAACTACTTACACAAAACTTATTAGACCAATCTAGAAAAACAAAAACATGAAGCATATGTTCACAGTGGGAACTCTGCAGTGTGGGCAATGCTGGGTTTTGGTTGAAAGGACATGTGCAGCCCAGGCCTCCTCTTCCCCTGCAGGACTCTCTGGCGGGGACAGCAGGGAACTGGCAGGATGGCAGCCAGCAGTGTGGCTGTAGGAATCATCTGCCTGTCACAGACTGTGGTTGGAGCTCTGGGCAATTCCTCTCTTCTCCTCCATTACCTGGGCCTTTACTTCACTGGGTGCAGGGTAAGACACACAGACTTGATGATTCAGCACTTGATTTTGGCCAACTTGTTAACCCTTCTGAGTAGAGGAGTTCCCCAGACAGTGGCAGCTTTTGGAGTGAAAATTTTCCTCAATGATGTTGGATGCAAGCTGCTTTTCTATCTTCACAGGGTGGGCAGGGGTGTGTCCATTGGCAGCACCTGCCTCCTGAGCATCTTTCAGGCCAATAAGATTAGTTCTAGGAACTCCAGGTGGGCAGAACTTAAAATGTCCATTTGCAAGTATGTTGACTCTTCTGTGTACCTGAGCTGGCTCCTGTACCTGCTTCTAAATATTGTTTTTCTTATGTACACAACTGGGAACAGAAACAACAAAAACATCACAAGCCTGAAAGATTTGGGATACTGTTCTACCATTCAGTATAACGTAACTATACAATCACTGCATGCAGCATTGCTAACCTTCCCTGATGCCCTGTGTGTGGGGCTCATGCTCTGGGCCAGCAGCTCCATGGTACTCATCCTGCACAGGCACAAGCAGAGAATGCAGCACCTTAATAAGACCAGCTCCCCCAGGTCCTCCCCTGAGTCCAGAGCCACCAAAACCATCCTCCTCCTGGTGAGCACCTTTGTCTCATTTTACACATTTTCATGCATCTTTCAGATTTATGTGAGTATTATGTCTAATCCGAACTTGTTCCTGGTGAACACAGCCACAATATTTGCTGGGTGTTTCCCAGCTGTCAGCCCCTTTCTGCTCATGGATAGGAACTCTAGTGCACCCAGGCTCTGCCTTGCATGGATAAGGAATAGGAAAACCTCTGATATCATGAGGAATATGTAAATTGTAAGCTTTTGCACAATAACATTAGGTCTAGGAGTTTGATAGTGAAGGAGGCAGTTAGGAAATCACATCACCTTCTGCTCAGTTTTTCTGTGATTCTAAATTTGCTCTAAGTGAAAATTCTGAAATATATGCATTTGAATGACAGGTGATAATCTGGTATTTGAATTTTTAAAAGCACAACATCATTCTCCACATGTGCCAGACTGCACCAGGTTTCTTGAGATATCATTCACCAATCTTGCTTCCTTGAGATAGCTGCATTTAAGTCAGGTGTTAATTAACTCAGGAGTGTAATCTCTGAAATATGTAATGCCTTGGCTTCTCCTCTCTCTCATCACATGATCTTGTTTCATTTGCTAAAGGTTGTTTATTTGTTCTTACCCACAAAATTGTAAGAACAGTAATCCAAAGTCATATACCAAAAGAATGGTGACATATAAATATTTATTTGTGTATTATAACTCTGTGTGTATGTGTTTGTGTGTGCACGCTTATGTTTATGCATATCACTAGGATTAAGTTTATCAGACATCAAGCGATATTTATGGATCAATAGATATAACAAATATAAATTTTAGATTTAAATATAAAACTAGAAGTTGGCAAAATCCTTCACCATAAAATTGACTCATGTTTTCCGACTCTTTTGATTGATTAACTTGTTTAAACATGTGGAATGTGTTTTTTATTTTTCTATTCTTATGTTTATGTCTGAGATATGTCTCTCGATGATAATGTCGATGCAAGCATTTTCAAAGAGTATTTTCCCTTGCACAATGGGTATCAATGGTCTAGTAGTGATCTATTTTAAGATGCTTTAATTTTTCTATTTCTTCTGTGTAATTTTTATAATGCTGCATTTCATCTTTTCCAAAGTTGATAAGAATGTAAATTTATGTAATATATTTATTGTCTACTTGAGAATGTATGACATTGAAAACTAATATATTTTGGTTATAGCTGATTTTTAAGTCACTGACATGTATCTTTAAAATACATGTAAAAGATGGGTAAAATTTCTGTACAAGATGGGTATGCCTCAATTACCTTACAGAAACTAAACACACTCCCCAGTGTGGAGCTCCTGTGTGGAAAACAGCATCCTCATTCTCTAATATGCCTTGTCTTTCCTCTTCCATAAGTATCACCAAGAGTGACTCACAGGTGACATCTGACAGGTAGATCACATTCACCTCTTTCATACTTTATATAAACAAACAAGTGCAATGTGGACTCTTGTATATTGACTTTGAAAATTCCAAGAGTTTAAAGTACATATTTTCCCTGTTGGTGTTAGAATTCAAGTGCAGGAATATCACTTAACCCCAGTGTTCCTCTCCTGATGCACATGTGCTTTGCTTTGGTTATGATTTATTTGTTTTTTTCCCCCAAGTTCCATGTGTTTGAAGATTTGCCCCAGTGTGATGTGTTGGGTGTGGAGCCTTTGAAAAGTGAAGGCAAGGAGAAGGGGCTTGGGTAATGGAGCAGTCACCCTTGGAGGGATAAATGCTGATCTCCTGGAGTATGGAGATCATTTTACACACTAATGGGTGGTCTTACAGCAAGTGCCGGTGTCTCCACGGTCTCGCTCCCTGTCCTTCCCTGTGGTCTCTTCTGCATGTGCTCCCACCATTGTGATTCCATCTGCTGTGAGGGACTCATCAGAGCTGAGCAGATGCTGACACCATATTCTTTAACCTCCAGAACTGTAGATCAATGCATTTATTTTCTTTACCAGGTGTTGCATAGGCATTTGGTTATGCAGGAGAAACAAATCAATACAACACATGAGTGCCTTTCAGTTTGGGGCATCATGATCTGCATTGGCATGTGGGATCTGCAACATGATTTGATGATACTTGCAGGAGTTTCTGTGGGGTATACATGTAGTGGTGCCCTTGTAGGACAGAGTTGACACATACTCAGCTTTAGGATATACTGTCAATAATTTTACTGAGTGTTTATATGAGTTTCAACCCATTAGGTGCTTCTGTTTTTATTTTTAAGGAAGAAGATTCTTTTATTAATCATACCATGCAATTAACATGAAATCCTATTTTAATTCAACTAGAATGTGTAATGCTGTTATAAAATTATATTTCTCACATTTATTTGTGAAGAAAATGTCATACATTGTTGATAGGGGATGACAGATGTGAGTGATGGGAACACAAAGTTAAGGGAATAATTCCGTAAATGGGCTCACTCTGCTGACCCCCTTATGGTTTATTTTCCAAGAAGAAATTCACCAGCAGCCCTTCCTGGCTTAAGTGAAAAAGATACAGTACATTCCTCAGCACACTACCTACTATCTGTAGGAGAAATTTAGACTTGAAATAATGTGCATAAAAGGAACCCAAACTACAATGAAGGGGGAGCCTTTTGTGACTCTTTTCACACCTCAGATCCTGAAATTCAGGAGATAAGGCTTATTCCTCCTAACCATAAAATCTGTAAGAATGCATAGTTAGAGATCCAATTAGAACTGGTTAACATGGGCCAAGGTGACCTAGTGTTGTCATGGCAAAGGGGACTTAAAAGTCTGATGTCTTAGAGCAGATTATGCTAAGTGAAGCTAGCCAATCCCTAAAAAACAAATGTCAAATGTCGCGACCCCTTGCCCGCAAGGAAGACGCAACTCAGGAATCTTCTTTCAGCAGTTTATTCAGGCCCTTGATATTTCTTCTTCTCTCTCTCGGATGCCCCTCCCAGCCTTAATAAAGCATCTCAAGCCCCAATGCGAAGCTGCCATGTGGAGCTTTCTCATAGGGTGGTGAAAAACCATGCGCCAACTCTCCCAAATAAGGAGTTGTTTGTCACAGACCACAGCGGAGCCAGCGCCATCTTGTAATGGCGACCATAGTCTGCAGAAACGGCAGAAGCGGCTCACCACAGTTCCCCCTTTCTGTTTTCTTAAAACAATACAGGCGAGAGTAGAGGTCCTATCCCACTGTGCAGAAGTGGCTGCATAGTATGGCTCAGTCCTAAGGAGGGCCCTTCCCTAGACCTGGTCCCATATCAGCCGACGCCTTTTTTCGTGGGGCGGGGCGTGGACGCGTCTAACCCGCATGCAATAGGACATGCTCTCCTTGAGGTCCACGTCAAGGATCACTCAAGTGCAGTGCCTTGCCTCGCATCCTGTATCGTGACGATGGTGGACGAAGGGGGATAGCTGAGGCTGAACTGTGGCTGTTTATAACGACAAACAAGTTGACAGCACCCTGAAAGAAAGGCACGTGCCGCAGTCTGGCTGGGCACAATCAGGAGCCACTTGTCAAAAGAAACTAACTTTATTTTTAGAACCACACACGACAAACAAAATAGTCTCTCAGGAAAAACCCTCAGAGCCTCAACTGCCACCACCGGCTTTCCACAAGCCTCTCTCTCCCCCACAAGCTTCTCCCCACCTCCCACAATCCTCCTGCTCTTGAGGCCGATTGGATGGGTCACGTGGGCAGAGCCAAAAAAGTCCCCCAATGAGCAGCTCCGTGGTCTGAAAGGGCAGGGAAACAGTCCAATGAGCATCACCGCAGAGGAGCCAATCAGCTAGATGTTGCTGGGGCCGAGGAGCCAATCAGCTAGATGTTGCTGGGGCCGCTGTGAGCCAATCATCAGCTGGCAGCTGGAAGTTTGCTGGGGCCCCTTCGGCTGTGGCTCTCAACATCTCCCCCTCTCTGTTTAAACAACAAGCATGTGGCTTAGGGACCGTGCCTGTTAGGCAGTCCAATTCAACATATGGTCCTTACCCGTCATCGGATGAACTGACCTCTAGGCGTCAGCCTCCTGTCTTAGGTTGGTACCACTGCAATTGGATCATACCCGTCACTGACTACCGGTCCAGCATACAGCCATACTTGTGGATAGGCCTTTGCACCAGTGGGGGGGTGAGGTTCTTTGCCTCACCTCTGTTGGCCCCCAAATTTTAGACCATCACTAGTAGAGGAGGATGCAAAATGCCATGACATTAAGCCAATTGAGGGCTCCTTTGAAAAATTGTACCACCGGTGACACCATCAGCAAAAATACTCCAGCACTACCACAATTCGCTGTACCAACAGATAGTTCACAATGCATACAGGTGAGCTCATAATGTGTCCAGGCAAGTTCTGCAAGCAGTTCAGTGATGGCTATTGTAGAAGCTGTAGATTGGTTTTATCTTTCATTTCACCAGCACTGGGATGAAGATAGGAATTCTGGCAATAATGGCTAAAGAAAAAATTATGTAACATTCCAGAAGGCACTAAAAGAAAACAATTTTCTTAACAATTTACATTGTCTTCACCGTCACTGGGATGAAGATAGGAATTCTGGCAATAATGGCTAAAGAAAAAATTATGTAACACTACAGAAGGCACTAAAAGAAAACAATTTTCTTAACAATTTACATTATCTTTAAGAGAATTATTAAATATAATGAAAAGGAAAGGTAAAAGTAAACAAACAGATCTGTTAACCTTCTTTTTTGTTTACATATTAAAACAATCCTCAACAGTTGTTTACCCAATTTAAATTAAACCATATAAATCACGTGAAAAAAAAATATTTGGATCCATTTTATCATGAGCGCTCATCATATATGATATATGGACATACGTACATTCAAACATATAACACAAAACACAAGTGTGCACACATAATATAATACATACAACACATAACATTATAGTAAAGGCCTTATAACTTTTTACAGGTGAAATCTCCATTGCAATGTTTAAAAACTCTATAGTCAAAAAATAGAACTGATCAGCAAAACATTAACCTAGGTCTGTATGAGCTCAAAAAACAAAATAGAACTTCATGATATGGCAAAGGGCAATAATAAAATAGATATTGAAAAAAGCATCCTGGTTCTGTTGCAGATGTAAGAATAGCCAAACTGGAGTTTTGGATATCAGTTGTTATGGATTTGAGCCAAATCATCTTCTTTTTGGTCTGTAGAAATCGCTTTAGTTAATCTTTCTGGAATCCAAATCGGCTGCTGTTCTCCCTGTGGAAAC